TTATATTCATAGTCTTATAAAGTGTCTAATCCATTCAAAATCTCTTATATTTTAGAGCGGAGGAATACAATTACGTACTACTTCAGTACACTCAGAATGAAAAAAACACTATAGTTAATTAGTTGGTGTATGTTTAGAAGTTATTCTCTCGATTTCCTATCGAAAGTTAAATAGCCACTTTAAGAAAACAAATCCGAGTGTGAAATGACTTTCGGGATGTAGGCGCCATACAGTAATTTTCTTCTTAATCATACGCGACTCTGCTTTGAATTCAGAACGCCACCACAGACCACAGATCCGCTCGTAGTACGTACTACGAGTCACCACTGATTTCGATCAAAATTGAAAAAGAAGGGATGAAACCGAAACGAACAAACTATGAACAAACGCACCAGCACGCACGCACTCACGCTGTCACGCGCATCCATGGACACGCGACGAACTCCAAGCATCCTTACGCTTTACGCGAGCAATTTTACTGCGCGGTACTTCAATTCACTCCTCTGCTTGATCGGCCGGTGACACTGACGCCGACGCCGACCGGTTTATGCCCTGGCGGCGGCGCCGGGAAGCTCCGGCGTGACGATCATGTTGTAGATGTGCTCCATCATCCGCCGCTCGAAGTCGCCGCCGCTCCCCTGCAGGCGCGCCCGCGGCACCCGCCTGTCCAGCAGCCCGGCCGCCGCCTCCGTCGCCGCGCAGCTCCGCGACCGCGACCTGGACAGCGCGGCGCCGCCTCCGGCGGCCAGCGCCAGCATCGCGTCGACGTACGCGTCCCGGATCCTCGCCATCAGCCGCAGCGGCGACAGTAGCACCGCGCGCGCCGCCGCCCGGGCGTTCCAGGACGACAGGCGCCCGCGCCGGACGGCGGCGTCCTTCGTGCTCCGCGCGCCGCCAGCGCCGCCGCCGAGGCGCGCCACGCGGAGGTGCCGCGACGGCGGCGAGCCGAGGCGCCTGTAGTTCCTCCGCGCCCAGTACATCTGGATGCTGCGCCGCGGCTGCGACACGAGGCTGATCGCCATGCGCGCGATCCTGCTGCTGATCGATCGAGTTGCTGCCGGTGCTGCACTGCTGCTGCTGCGTTGAGGTGTGTACTGCGCAATGGATGCTTATATAGTACTAAGAGCTAAGGTTAATTCAGATTAGTGACTGGAGATGAGAGAATTTGTGGTCAATATAATTGGATCAAGCACAAGCTAATCTGACTGTGATTTGGGTTCTTCCTTGACGGCGCATTGATTGGGAGTTGTAGCTCGTCAGCGTTGAACCGTTCGAACTGGGTGGGTCGAGTAAAAAAAAGAAGAGCCGCCAAAGTTGCACCGGGAAGAAGCAGATACCGTGCGTATCTGTCGGCGAGGCATACGCCATTCTCGTCTCTTGCTGGAGGGTAGGGTATCGTTGACGATTGACGAGAAATGCGTCGTGACCTAGCAAGTTTTGGATGCTGCTTAACTTTTTGGGGGTGTTTAGATTGAGGGGTGTAAAGTTTTAATGTGCCACGTCAGGTATTATATAGGGTGTCGTATGGGGTGTTCGAGCACTAATAGAAAAACTAATTATAAAATCTGTCGGTAAACCGTGAGACGACTTTATTAAGCCTAATTAATCCATCATTAGCAAATATTTATTGTAGCACCACATTGTCAAATCATGGAGCAATTAGATTTAAAAGATTCGTCTTGCAAATTAGTCGTAATCTGTGGAATTAGTTATTTTTTAGATTATATTTAATACTTCATTCATGTACTAAACGATCGATGCGATAGTGCGTAAAATTTTTACGTGTTAACTAAACGGAGCCTTTAACCCAGTCGACGAGTTTCTCAAGCTGCAAATGTACAGCTCATGGAATCCCCCTTGGGATCGTGCACTCATGGAACCATCTGTACAATTTGAGACAAACACACTATTTTCCACACGGAAATTCTTGTTCTCTGACACGTCGCTCTATTTATCACAGCTCCAGCTCCATCTTTCTTGAGGTGAAGTCTAACCAAATAATTTCAGCTCCGCCTAAAATAGAAATAGTGCTAGGTGAGACGCTATCATAAAATAAACTAAAGATGTAAGCTGGTTTTAGGCTGCTACTACACAAGTCCACTCCACGTCCAACTCCCGAAACTAAATTTATCGGTTAGAGTTCTACAAAATAGACCCGTCATATTGTGCGTGCGACTGTGAGGCCTTGTTTGGAAGTTGGAACGGCCCGGCACATTCGCATATAGTCCGCTGCAACTGGGCCGTTATTTTTCGTTGCCGAAAGAGGCCTTATGGAGACCTTGGACCGCACGATTTTCAACCAACGTTAAACGGCAGGCGCTTACTCGCACAAAAAGGAATAAGTTCACTCGAGGTCCCTTAACTTGTAGCCGAGTTCGAAATTCATCCCTACACCACAAAACCACATACAACGCATCCCCCAATTTACCAAATCGTGCAAATCGTGCAAAAAGGTCTCTCGGCAGTATTGTCCCCGGTTTTGACTGACGTGGTGCCTACGTAGCGCTCCAATTACTAGGTTTTCATCCCACGTGGCATTGACGTGGCGCTTACGTGGCAATTTGATAAAAAAAATTAATAAAATATATGGGACCCACTTCAGTTAAAAACAAATGGTGGAGGACCCACGTGGGACCCATATGTCATCCTCCCTACTCCTCTCTTCTCTGTTATCGTTTTCTTTTCTTTTTCATTCTTTTTCTTCTTTTAATTTAGAGGATGGCATCCGGCGACCGGCACTCGGCGGAGAGGGCGGCCGACGAGAGAGGAGCGGCGGCGCGTGCCGCGCCGACGGAGAGGAGGCCGCTCGGAGCGAGGCGTCGCGGGAGAAGGGCAGCACGCGGTGAGCGGCGGCACGCATTCCTCCTCCGCTAGATCTCCGGATTCGTTTTTGTACTTGCTAGTCGCGTCCGGAGAAGAGGAGAAGAAATCCAGTCAATCAGCATCGGCATGTCGTCGCTTGGGGTGGTGGTGGTTCTGAATTTTGATTGATTCGTGCTTTTTCGTTGGGGGTTGCTTGCCATGGGATTGGTGAACGAGGCGAGCTCGTCGTGGACACCATGCTGGTGCTCAAGCTCAGGCTCAACTCCATCAAGACGCTGACGCTCCTCGTGCCACTCAGCATATTCGCCGATGTGGTTGACCTCGGCGCCGTGGGCGTCATTCTCAGGAAGGACATGTCCGTCTGGCTCACCAAGCCACCACTCGTCTTCGCCTGCGGTGGCCTGAGCGCGATCCTGTACAGCATCGGCGTGTCTGTGTACGCTTTCGAGGGATTCGGCATGGTCCATCCGCTTGAGGCGGAGGCCGCCAACAAGAAGAAGTTGGGCGCACCACGCTCGGGCTATCCATGGGGCCATCCCGTCTCCGCCCCCCTGCCCCATCTCCGCCCCCCTGCGGAGGAAGAGATGCGCAGCGGGCGGCGGCCAGCGACCGTCTCGGCCCCACTCATCGGCCGCCGCATTTTTCCCTCTCGACGCGCGCTCGCCGGCCGGCGAGGAAGGATGGCCGGGAGGGAGAGAGGAGGCGCCGGTCCATCCTCTCCCGTCGTCCGTGGATAGAGAGGAGGGTGGGACCCACTGATACGTGGGTCCCATTATTTTTCTTGTGTGTAACTGATATGTGGGTCTCACTTTTTTGTTTTTATTTTAATTTTTTATATTTTGCTTCCGGTGCCACATCATTGCCACGTAGAACGAGGACAAAACAAAAGAGCCACGTAGGCGCTATATCAGTCAAAACCACCATCGAAACCGCTGAAGGACTTGCTTTGTACCGGTTTTGATAGTTGAGGGACTCGTTGTATCTGGTTTTAGTGTTAAAGGACGAAAATCGGATTCGTTGACAAGTTTAAGGACCTCAAGTGAACTTATTCCGCACAAAAACGAAAGGAAATGGGCTTGCCCTGACGAAGAGCTTGAACAGCATTTTAGACTATTAAAATTTTGTTAGCATTAAATCTTGGGTAAATTTTGGCTAGTAGATTTGGCTCAGCTCTACAAATTTGGTACAAGTTTTTCCTCAATCCAAATGTTTATCAAGTACTATTCGTGGCTATCAAATATTACCTCCCTCACAAAAATAGTTCATTCAGGTGCATAATCATGAATGGAAGACTTGTCTACGTGCATAGCTAGAGATAATAGACTTATACTGGTGCATAGTAAAAAAAATGGGAATTTGTTTTTCAACCTTAAATTCAAAGTCGATTTTGGGTTTTCTTCATCGAAATTTATTTTTTAACCTTTGTTTTTAGATTGTTAAGAACATGTATATGTAAGTTTTATTCAAATTACTTTTTTTCTGTAAATATGAAGCCAAACGATGGGGCCGGAAGTCTTTTTGACGGACGGAGCAATTGGTAAGGCCGAATTAGTATCAAACCAAACACAACCTTTAGATACGTTTGTGGTTCTATGCCAATTTTTTTACAATTGCAAGATTTGATTACTGATGCAGTCGGCAATTTTTTTCAGAACAAGCAAAAATCATGCAACCTTTAGATACGTCTGTGGTTCTCTGTCTGTTTTTCTTTTCAGAAGAAACAATCCTGAATTTGACAAAGTACTTACCTTTTTCTTCGTAGAATTAGACTAAAACTAAACCAAACCAAACGAAAGATTTTTCCCATACGACAGAATGGCTGCACTCGGCGAGATGAACAAGGTCACTGTCGTACTACACGAAACGGCAAGAGCAGCTACATGCCTGTACTCCACTCCAACCTCATTTGTTGTACACTTGTACTGCCGATCAGTTCCAAGCAGCAAAACTTGTACGTTTCATCTGAGAATTGCAGTGGTAGTACCGTACGTCTCACGCGCTGGCCAAATCGCTCGCATCGTGCCATGTTGCCATGTCAAACAAGCTCAAACCGCTCTTTAAAAATCTGAACCTTTCTGATCTGAATTTTCGGTTTCGCTGTCATTTGGAGTTCTTGCTGTGTCTTTCTCTGTCTACTTTTCCTCGAAAGCAACATGGTCAGATTAAGAAACTGTGCATAGGCCAAATAAGCGAGTTATATTGATCAGCTGCAGGATTTGCTTATTTGCAAGCAAAGAATTAAGATACATGGAACATATCACAAATAGAACCATATCTATTTTTCATTTCCCGGCTACTAATAAGTGGGAAGAACATTTATTTCTTCTAGAACCTATAAATAACCAATAGTCCAATACTACCATCTTCCTCGACAAATGACAAGGCCGTAGTAGTCGTATAGTACAAGGCTATGCTAATTTTGCTAAACTAATTTGGGGGTATCTAATTAATCTTCCCCTTTACAAATGCCATGCTCGATCGTGTCACGTACCATTCGTATGTCGCGTTTAGAGGGAGAAGCAGCCCATGCCGGAGCGCGGCGCCAAGAACGGGAGCACGGCGTCGGGCGACGCCGACGCGGGGGGCGGCGCGCTCTCCGCCGCCGCCGCCGCCGTGATGCTGTTGAACCTCCGGCGAGCCGACGGCCGCGGCAGGTTCTCCGGCACGATGTTCTCCAGCGAGTTGGCGCGCCACGGCGGGCACTGCCGGCGGTCGCTCCACCGCGCCGGCCCCGCCGCCGCCGCCGCCGTCGCCTCCGGCGCACGCGCCATCACGGCGCCTTCGCCGGGGCCGCCCGCCGTCCCGAGCACCGCGCACGCCGCCGCCGCCGCGACGCACGCCCGGCGCAGCTGCTGGAGGTGAGGCGCGCCGCCGCCTCTGCTGGCGGCGGCCGGAGCCGGCGCAGGCTTGAGCTGGCAGGAGACCACCATGGTTGCCGACACGTCTCGCAGCAGCAGCACAGCAATTTTGATGGGAAAAAGGCCAGTTCGAAGCGAGATTTATAGCGTTTTTTTTTCCTTTTTTTTTTTGTTTGGGTGAGCAGAGGAGGGTCAGATCACGGCTGTTGATCTCGACGTGGACGCTGGATTTTAGTGCTAGCTTAGCAAGCGCGCGCGTGTTGCTTTGCTTGGCGTGTGGAACCACCTGTGGCGTGTGAAAAGTTGCATATGGCACGTCGGGGGCGTGGGGTGGGGCCCGCGGGCGTGGTTAGATATTTGGCATACAGTAAATAGCGTAATTAGCAGTTTGCGAGCTTGCAACTTTGCAAGGGGGAAATTACTCAGTCACAGCGACGAGAGGAGATGCATGGGAAACCCGGGAAATTACTTGGCTGCTGCTAAAATAGTCTGCCTTGGACGGGTTCCTTCGTATACCAACCGGAGCGAGACATGTACCGGACTTTCTATTTGCGCCACGCTTGGCACTTGGACTCTTACGGTTAAACCCAGATTCAATCTAGGCCGGAAATAACATGTATATTAAAAAATTTATAATAGATATAACGAGAGACTGGATTTATTCTGAGCCGGGAACTAATTTATTTATGATAGGAATAATAAAACATCCAGATTAGTTCCACACTTCTTGACTTATTGGATTGATTTCTAATATCTTATTGTCCCTATCATAAGTAAATTGATTCCCGGTCCAGAATAAATTCTGATCTGTTATTGTATCTACATAAATTTCTTTCTTAGTTGTCATTCCGGCTCGGATTGAATTCGGGCGCAACCGAACAAGTCCTAATTCGTTTCAGGAGGGTGAGCTGTACGAGCCACCAAGTCGCCAACAACCTAGGAAGAACTCGTATCGCCATTCGTCGCATGCCAACTTGGAAATCGACGTTTTTTTTTTCTCTCTCTCTCTGCAGACTACAATTACCTCAACTCAGTGTCAACTCTGCTTTCGTAGATGGGAGTTCCCAACACGGCGGCACACTGGAAGCCAAGGGAAGGCAATTAGGTAAAAACCCCTCGCTGGACACAATCACGCGCACAAACTGTTCGAGGGAATTCCGCGCTGAAACAGGCACAGCTTCGTCGCATGATATTTTAAGTGAGAAAGCTAATCAACGGTGATTCTTTGAGGCTAGGGAGACCCTGTTTAGATGAGACTAAAATTTATAAGTCACTATCACATCGAATATTTAGACACTAATTATAAATATTAAACGTAAACTATTAATAAAACTCATATATAATCTTGTACTAATTCACGAGACGAATCTATTTACCCTAATTAATCCATGATTAGCCTATATGATGCTATAGTAAACATTCTCTACTTACGGATTAATTAGGCTTAAAAAATTTGTCTCGCGAATTAGCTTTCATTTATATAATTAGTTTTGTAAGTAGTCTATATTTAATACTCTAAATTAGTGTCAAATATATAGACTAAATTTAAGTCCATGGAATCCAAAGTTCCAAACACCACCTGAAGCTTCATTTCTGGTGGCACCATGATTTGATTCTCTTGCCGTTGGATTGGATGCCGTCCAATCGGTGATTTGCTCGTACATATTTTTAACCGCGTGTCAAAAGTTTGTAAGAATATCTTTTTTACGTGAATCATTTTCGTATGTTAGAATCACTGGGGTTCATCTGCAAAGGAACTGAAACAGATGCAGAGAGACTTGGAACTTGGAAAAACTGAAAACCTCTATTCTGGATTTCTGGTCTTTCAGGTCTCTTTTTTTTGGGCCTGCTTTGGGAGCCCATCATCGTGGAAAGGCTAGGAATCATGGGCCGCCAAAACAGGCCTTAAAGATCACAATTCTTCCAGTAGACACCTGTTACGGTAAAATTACCAGATTAGGCAAATAAGAAAATCAGATGAAAGGAGTTATCAAATAGACCATCATAGTCAATAACAGAGTGCTGAAAAAGGAAAGACAGTATATATTCCAAAAATTGACAACAAATTTAATGTTGATAGTCGGAATTTTAAATATATGACCGTTATTGGCTTTTAAATATATATGCTATTGTGAGCCAAAGACATAAATCTAAAAAAAAAAGTGAGCCAAAGACAACATAGAGAGATCAAGACACATCTGTTTATTGACTTTTAAATATATATGCTATTGTGAGCCAAAGACACAAGATAGAAATCCATTCAAGACACATCCGTTTCTTGACTTTTAATTATGTGCTATTGTGAGCCAAGCCAAAGACATAAATCCTCAAAAAAAAAAAGTGAGCCGAAGACACAATATAGAGATCCATTCAAGACACATTCGTTTATTGACTTTAAATATATGCTATTGTGAGCCAAAGATATACTTCCTCCGTCTCAAAATAAACAAACATGTTATGTAACCTTTTCTAGTACATTCATTGTACTAGGATCTCTATCCAAATTCATTGTACTAGGAAACGTCACATCCTATTCTAGATTGATTTTTATGGGATGGAGGGAGTAAGATGGAGAACCATTTAAGACACATCCGTACAATCCTTGTCCTAATCAAGAAAGAAAGATGGTACAATAGGTAGGTCAGTATGACACTAGTACAAATCAAGAACCAGGCAACACTGTCATGCATACTTTAGGCATCTCTGCCCTCTCATCTAAGAGTGCGAGCGGATAGGCTGAAATATTGACCTATCCAATTGAGATACCAAGTATTAACCTATCTCACATAGTCCAACATGGACTAAATCAGTAGAAGGAAAAAAAACTATTTTTGTTGTTTTCGGCATCCACCACACAAGTGAGATGAACGACATTTCACTGTGCTCGGCACCATGTCTCTCATTCATGACTACTATCGCAATTCCCAAAAGCCCTCACCAACACACTGTATGACCGAGATCTTTTGGTCATATTGAGCATCCACCACAGAGTTAGGTAGAGTGACCTTACTCTAGTCGGCATCCTATCTCCATTCATGATTACTCTTCACAATTTTTCATGCGTCATGACCAACGACACCATGCGACCAAGGTCTTGTGGTTGTTTTCAACATTGACCATTGTTAGGCTAGGTTGGAGTGACCTTACTCCAATTGGTACCACATCCTAAATTCATGGCTACTCTCACAATTCCCATGCGCCTCACTAATGGCACCATGTGGCTAAGATCAAGGCCACTCTTAGGTGTTGCATGACGAGTAGGTTCCCAATTTCATTTTAGGGTCAAAATGTGATCCTTAGCAAGATGCAAAATTTTATGAATTTTGAGCGATATTTGTGAAATCCAATTTATTTCATTTTGAGGAAATATGGTTTCTTTTGCAATGGAATTTGATGAAAATCAAACAAAATTGTGAACCCAACCTATAAGTCTGCAATACTTATTTTAAAGGATTCTTTTTAAAGATTATCGATCTATTTTTTTTATTATTACCAAGAAGAGATTAACATTCACCAATGGGAATTTTTTTTGGATTACCAGTTGTAGTTAATAAGTACTACTGAACCGGAATAGCATTCTATTATAATTCGAAGTACATCATGTTACTCAAAACGCATTACAACTTTAATCCGCTTCGTCTAAATTGATCGCATTGTGCTCCACACCATGTCTCCCATTCATGACTACTCTCACAATTCCCACGAGCCCTCACCAACGCATTGTGTGAGTGAGATCTTTTGGTCATATCCAGCATCCACCACAGAGTTAGGTAGAGTGATCTCACTTTGACTAGCATCCTATTTCCATTCATGATTATTCTCATAATTTTGCATGCATCATGACCAACTACACCATGTGAAGAAGGTCTTTTGGTTGTTTTCAACATTAACCAGTGATTAAGCTAGGTTGGAATGACCTTACTCCCATTGGCACCACATCTTAAATTCATGGCTACTCTCACAATTCCCGTGCACCTCACTGACAACACCGTGTGGCTAAGATCAAGGCCCACTCTTATGTGTTGCATGATGAGTAGATTTCATTTTCATTTTAGGGTTGAAATGCGATCCTTAGCAAGATGCAAAAGCTCATGAATTTCAGACGAGATTTGTGAAATCCAATTTGTTTCATTTTGAGGAAATCTGAATTTTTGGAAATGGAATTTGATTAAAATCAGATAAATTTGTGATCTCAACGTGTAAGTCCCAATACACTATCTATTTTAAAGGATTCTTTTTAAAGATTACCGATCTAACATTTAATTCCTACCAAAAGGAGAGATCAATCAGGAGCGACATTCACACATGGGGATCCTCTGAATTAAAAGCATCGGTCAATGAGTGTGACTGCACCAGTAGTAATGTAGAGGATCCATGTCCTCCATTCACCCACACGAATGAACGGAAACTACATTTTATTATAATTTGGAGAACAACATGTTACTCAGACAACATGCATTACAACTTAATATGGTTAATCCAAATCGATCATATTCTTTAGACTACTTGCGCCAGGGACGTGACTATATGAGACAATGATACTAGTCACTGGCTCACGGCCCAAATTGGTGGGAGAAAAAACAACTCACTTTTTGGTTGTTTTCAGCATCCACCGTAGAGTAAGATAGGCTAGAGTGACATCACTCCACTTGGCACCACGTCTACCATTCATGGGTACTCTCGTAATTTTGACAGGTCCTCGCCAACGCATTGCGCAACCAAGATCCTTTTGTCGTATCCAACATCCACCGCAGGTAAGGTAAAGAGTGATCTTCTATGCATGATTATTCCCGCATTTTTCCATCTACCCTCACCAATGATACCATGCGACCAAGGTCTTTTGATCGTTTTTAGCATCCACCGTAGAGTAAGCTAGGCTGCAGTGATCTCTCTTCGCTTGGCACCACTTCTCCAATGCATGGCTACTCTCATAATTCCCCCAAGTTCCCACACCAATGGCATCGTGAGGTTGAGATCGAAGTCCTAGGCAACATGTGACGTCCTACAGGCAGGGTTTCCAATTTGGTGTCAAAATGCGAGCCTTAGCAAGATGATGAATTTTGTGAATATTGAGTGAGATTCATGAAATTTGGGCAATTTCATCTAGGGGAGCTCCAAATTTTTGGCAACGAAATTTGTTGAAATTAAATGAAATAGTGAAGCCATCCCACGAGTCTTGGTGCAATATCTCTATTTTGATTTCGAAAGATCAGGACCTAACACTTAATTCTTACCCAAAAGATCGATTAGGAGTAACATTGATGAAATGGGATCCTCTGAATTACTATTGGTGAAGTAGCACTCACTGGTATGTAGGCCGGAAAACACATGTTAGTCGTGGGGATTGCTATCTAGAGCAGCTGTGTTTTCAGCACACACTTTCATCTGAAAATGTTCATCCAAATAACTTTTGTTTGAGAACTTCCATTCGAAACACTTTCATCTCACACATTCATGTGAAAACTTACATTTGGAAATTAAAAGTGTGTGCTAAGGGCATATAGGAACACATCTGCGTTAAATAGCAGTTATGGTACTTCAAAGGATCCATTTTCAACATTCACACATTGCCAATGAACTAGAAACGACATTTTATTATTAATTCGAAAACCAACATGTTGCTCTCTCAGACTAAATGCAATATTATTACAACTTTTTAATCTGGTTCATCAAAATCGATCACATTGTTTCCCCCACATAAACTTCGAAACCCAAACATCCCTCTTCTTCACTGCATGATTTGGTTGAGAGCACCATGGCCACCACCACTGCTTCCGCCGCCGCCGCCGTTGGTGTTGCTGTTCTGACTCTCCTCCATGGCGTCGGCGGCGCCGCTAGCCATCATCGTCATCTTCTTCCCCGCGGTCGCGCGCCACGCCGACGCCGAGTACAGCCTCTGGCTATGCCAGGTGAGCGTGAGGAAGCCGCCGTTCTCCTGGACGCCGAAGCCGGCGCCGGAGAACTCGCGGAGCTGCATCGCCGCCTGCCAGAGGCCGGTGGCGCCGAGCGGCAGCTGCGTCATCCCCCCGCGCCGCAGCCTCTCCACCCACCGCGGCATCTGCTCGTGGCGCTCCACCCGGCTGCTCCCCTCGCGGCTCACGATGTCGGCGATCTCCCCCTGCAGGTACGCCTCGGCGAGCGGGTTGCCCGCCCCGTCGCCGCCGCCATGGCGGCTGATAGCCTCGAGCGAGTCGAACATGGAGGCGTAGTAGAAGAGGGAGTTAGTGAACCTCTCGAGCAGCGACGACTTGTTGTGATCCGCCTCCTGCTCGACCACCGTGAAGACCCTGGGGTTCATGGACGCGACCCAGTCGAGCACGCCGTCGATGGGCGCCGGGAACGACGCCGCGGCGGCGGCGTCCTGGTCGACCAGGAGGCGGTGGAGCTGGAGCACGGAGTTGATGGCGACGGCCTCGCCGGGCGCGACCTGGAACATCCACGGGCGGAGCCCGTCGAGCTGGTCCGCGGCGATCCCGCGGAAGGCGAAGGGGACGCTGCAAGATCTCGCGAACTCGGCGAGGCGGAGGCCCACGTCGCGGAGCTCGTCGCGGTTGCCGGCGGCGTGGGGGCCGATCCCGGTGATGCGGAGGAACGGCGGGCCGCCGGGGCGGACGGCCAAGGCCTGGATGAGCGACGGCCACTGGATGCCATCGGTGAGGGCGAAGTCGATCACGTGCACGCTGTTGCACCCCTCGAACGCCTCGAGGATGGCCTGGTTCGCCGCGAGGTGGGCGAACTTGAGGTACGGCCCCGCCTCGTAGAACCCGCGGAAGAGCTCGCGCTGCTCCCCGCGTGGCGGGGGCGGCGGCGGCGCGGACTGCGGGAACGCCGGGAACAGGCGCTCGGCGAGCGCGTCGGCGAAGTGGGTGAGGACGCGGCCGATCCCGGTGCGGGTGGTGGGCATCTTGGCGAAGATCTCGCGCGCGTCGGACAGGCTCCCGGCCGCCGCCGCGTAGTCGCCCGCCTGGATGGCGCCGGCGCACGTCACCATGAGATTCACCGACCGCAGGGCCATCTTCTCCAGCTCCTTCCACCGCCTCGCCGCCTCGATCTGCACGGCGGACGGCGGAGCACGCCCGGGGACCACAGCCATGCCAGGGACTAGAGACGCGTACACGGCAGCAGCAGGATCGGCGTGGTACACCGCGCCGCTGACGTTGCCCAGAGCAGCGGCGGCGGCAGCGGCAACGTCCATGGCGGACCAGCCACCGAAGCCGCCGAACTGAGCCATGCGCGACGGCGGCTAGGAGGAAGACGACGCGGGCGAGGGTGTGAGGCTTGCTTGGCTTGGTTTGGTGGAATGGGTGGTCGCTCTCGCCGAGGCGGGGTTTTTATAGGGGGAGGAGAGGAGCGGGGAGCGTGGTGCAGATGACGTGGCTCGGGACACGTGTACAGGGAGGTGGTGGAGGGGAGGGGGTGGGGTGGGGATACACATTAACGCCTGGATTTGTGCAAGATGGCTGGATGGCTGGCTGCCCCTCGTGTGTGTGCCATTTATTTGTGCTGAATTTCCCTTTTTCTCCTTTCTCCTTTTGATTTTTGGCTTGGTTTATCTTGCCTTGTTGGATGCCAAAAGGGATGGAATTTTTTTGTTTCATACTACTATGCTATATATGTTGCATAAGTGATTCAACATGCGTGTTGTTTTGCACTGGAGTGAAATGTGGCATCTAAGGAATGAGAAATTTGAGGAGGTTTTTTGAGAGAAAAAATTTTGATGTTCCTTAAAAGAAAAGAGAAGATGAAGAGGATAGATTAATTGGTTTAAGTGAAAATCATGGAATTTAGTTGTTTTATTAGACATTGAGAATGAAGGTGATATGCGGGCAATACCGCACAAGCCATGCAACTATGAATCTGTATAATTAATTTCTAAAGACTAAAAAATGAATGATAGTATTCATAATGAATTTCACTAGCTTTTAAAGCAGGTGTAACCTATACCGTGCGTGCGAGAAAGTTGACCATGCATATCGTATCTATAAATTACAACCATTACGATCTACTTGTTTGAGCCATAGGTTTATAAGTTATAGGCAACTTTGAATTTTAGAATTTAACTATAGAATAATATAATTGAATTCTTTTGACTAGAAAAAAAATCAGTATTCATAACGGATGTTTTACTACATTGAATTTCGTCGGATCTTTCGCATCAGCACATCACTAGCTTTTAAAGCGGGAGTAACCTATACAGTGCGTGCGAGGAAGTTGACCATGCATATCATCCCTTTGAATTACAACCATTACGATCTACTTGTTTGAGCCGCATAGACAACTTTGAATTTTAGAATTTAACTATAGAATAACATAATTGTTCTTTTGACTAGAAAAAAAATCAGTATTCGTAACGGATGTTTTACTACATTGAATTTTGTCGTATCTTTCACATCAGCACATCACTAGCTTTTAAAGCGGGAGTAACCTATACCGTGCGTGCGAGGAAGTTGACCATGCATATCGTACCTTTGAATTACAACCATTACGATCTACTTGTTTGAGCCACGGGTTTATAAGTTATAGACAACTTTGAATTTTAGAATTTAACTATAGAATAACATAATTGAATTCTTTTGACTAGAAAAAAAATCAGTATTCGTAACGGATGTTCTACTACATTGAATTTCGTTGTATCTTTCGCATTAGCACATCACTAGCTTTTAAAGCGGGAGTAACCTATATCGTGCGTGTGAGGAAGATGACCATGAATATCATATCTTTAGATACCAATAATTACACTCTACTTGTTTGAGCCATGGGTTTATAAGTTATAACCAGCTTTGAATTTTAGAGTTCAACTTTATAATCAATATAAAATTGATTTCTACAAACTAGAAAAAAAAACTACATCGAATTTCATCGTATCTTTGGCATGAGCATACTAGCTTTTAAAGCGGGCGTGACCTACACCATGCATGTGAAGAAGATAACCGTGATATATCTTTGAATACCAACAACTACGATCTACTTGTTTGAGCGACGGGTTTATAAGTTGGAGCCAACTTTGAATTTAGAATTTAACTTTAGAATCAATATAATTGATTTTTCCAAACTAGAAAAACCCATGTCATAATGGATGTTTATTTAGCATTGAATTCTATCATATCTTTGGCTTGAGCATATCAGTAGCTTTTAAAACGGGCTATAGACTATGTCGTATATCATATCTTAGGATACGGACAATTACGATATACTTATTTGAGTCACAGGTTTATTAGTTGTAGCCAACTTTGAATTTAGAATTTAATATTAGAATTAATTTTGATTTTTTTCTCGTTTTCTAACTAATGCTTGGCGAGTGTAAGAGCATAAGGCTGTGTTGGTGAGCCATTAGCGTATAAATAATTAATTACTATGTACATAGGAGATCTTTGAGATTTTGTGAAATGTATAATAAATATCACATTGATTACTATGTTAAATTTAGAAGATAATTAGGAAACCGATTTTCAGCAACTGGCTACAAACCCCACACATATCAAAACAATTCATTGTGCTTTGTGATTTTTGAACTCCCTTTGTCCAAAAAGGCAGTTTCATCCTCATGATTGATTGTTGTTTTCTTGTTTGCTTTACAGAGAAAGTAGTGCACTGTACTCTCTAATGCACATGATAATATCGTATTGTAATATAATATATTAGTGAATAATAATGTAGCATTTTTGCATATTAAACTTTAGGATGCAATGAGTTGCAACTATACAAAAGGTATAGATTTGCATTTACTAAAAATGTTATTACCACATAGCTTTATAATTAAAAAAATATTTTCTAATTTAGAGGGAAGATTATATTTGCACTTTTCTATTCCAAACAAATATATTTGCACGATTGCAAAAAGAAAACATATTTGCATATTTCCATACAAAAATAAATACGAGTGCATTTTCGTGGAAATTTATATTGCAGATAACATAAAAAAAGATGTAATTTTTATAATTGCAAAAAATATCTATTCATCTTTCATGAAAATTCGTATTTCCATAAAGACAAAATACACGTCACATTACTATTTTTTTAAAATGCATCTACACATAAAAATGTTTGTACATTTACATTGCACAAGTGCACATTTCTATCTTGTGCAATGAAAATGTGCAGACTTTTTTTTGGATATGCTCAACTATGGCAACTGCACATTCCATTGCATAGTTGCGCATATCCAAAAAAGTTTGCACATTTTCGTTGCACAATCCACACATTATTGATGCACCATTCTCATACAAAGAAAATACATATGTGCACTTTCCCATTCAAAAGGAAAACATCTGTGCATTTCCATAGAAAACACATATGCACATTTTCACCCACAAAAGATACATCTGAATATGTCCATCCATATTTTCACACAAAATGTTCTGCACACTTCACTCAAAATGTTTCTGCAAATTTGACATAAAATGTTCTGCACATATTCACTAGATCATTTTTACCTTGCACATCTGTGCACAAACTCTGCACATAACACATTTCCCACTGCAGAAACGATAAGCACATATACATTTGTTCAAAAACTTTAAAAGAAAAACTGTAGGGCATGAAAAAGTGCAACACGTTCCTGAAAAAAGGCAGCACAAGAGATCTACTCATTTCGAGAGAAAAAACACATACTGCACCAAAAAAAAATGCAGTAGGCGGACATGTCCTACACAAAATTGTATCTACACAACATACGTGAATTTTCAGTCATGAACATCCACGAGCATACGAGAGAGTGTGGTTTTAGTCCCACATTGCTTAGCCAAGAATACAAGCATACAAGGCCAAGGCCCAAGGGTGCAAACAAACTTAAAATTCCAGATTAACAGTCTTGTACAAAACGCTCAGTCAAAAAAAAAAAAGTGGGGAAAGTAGGAGCTGAGTTTTTGCGTTCGTAGTTTGTTCCAAGCAGGAAAGAGCCCTTGGACCTTGGCCAGTTTGGGTCTTGTAGTAAACTAGTAATGACGCCAAGATAACCATGCATATCGTTCCCTTGGAGCTAGGAAGTCAAGCACTCTTGTAGTATCTTTCGAAGTAGGAGGCAGGGCACTTTTAACACCTGTTTAGAAAGCTGAAATTGAATTGTTCTGTGAATTTCCTGCAAAAGAATCCTTCAAATACATCCTGTAAATCAATTTCTATGCCAGCTATACCGGTGTTATATGTGTGAATGTAGAAAGATTTTAAAGAAGCACTAACACATGCTATTTTGCCAATATCTCTAGTTACATATATTCACTATCACTAACATGGAACAGGCAAAATTCTTTAGCCCTATAGTTGACACTGACAACCATTACAGCGTTGTTACTCCTATTTAACAAAAAACTCCCTCCGTGTCTTTTTTGTATGATGCTGGTTAGTTCTAACCAACGTCATATATTTAGGGAAGGAGGTAGTAGCATACAAAAGCTACAATATTCTCACTGTAAAACTAATCTTACTTGGATATTTCTTTTGGACATTATTGGACGCAAAGATCATCTGCATGAAGCACCACTTAAGGGGACTGCAAGGAAGAAACACTAAAAATGTAAGAGAAACAATAAAGGATCTCCTTGTGATCCAACAAATAGAGCCGAAAAGACAATACCTTCTGTGCAATAAGAAATGACAAAAGCTGGAGTGCCAGTATCTGAGCTAGATTTTCAACATTTTTTGTCATGTACCAAGCTGAATACTTGCACAAACCTAATACATATAACTGAAAATTTTAACTTTGTTGATCCATGCAGGGTTGCTGGGGCTTCTTGCTATATGCCTATATCCAAACTGCTAGTGAGTATTTGTATTGTTAGACGTGGTTAATAACTGTTGTTGCAAAGGATTTCTGTAGCAGTGCTTGCAGCAGATGCATAATAATGCATGGCCACATCTTGTATTGTTATACAGCCCTCTTTCTATAAGTTTTTCATCCATATCCTATATCTCCACATGAACAATCTCCATCCTTAAAGCAGTGTAATTGCTTAGTGTCTCTAACAGTTATCTCTCTTCGAACAATTTCAGAAATTGCCTTGAATATCACATGACAACTCTGGCAAGTGTATCGGTTCTTTGTGACAGAAATAGTGGTACCAGGTGTAGTATTGATCAAACCAAAAGCTACAGCTAATCTTTCACTGTGACCGCACAAGATGTCGTCCTCGGATACTTCTTTATCTTCTAAGGACTCAACAGGAGCAAAACCACATGCTTTCATTCGCTCATATATGCCATGTAGAACAACATTTATTTCTTTTATCTGTGGATGTGATTCATCATCTGTAAGAAATGCGTGAGTTACTCCCTTAACCTCAACCCAGCTACATCCATTATCTTGCTCCAATCCCTTCTCTCGCATGGTTTTTCTCACTCTAGCCACTTGAGCCCATTTGCCAGCATCAGTATATAAATCACACAGAAGAACATGATATGCAACATCATTAGGTTCCAACTCAAGGATAACTTTTGCAGCAAGCTCGCCAAGTTCAACATGTCGGTGGATCCGGCATCCATTCAACAAGGCTCCCCACACTGCAGCATCAGGTTTGATAGGCATTCGATTTATGAGGTTGTAAGCTTCTGTTAATTTCCCAACACGACTCAATAGATCTACCATACATGCATAGTGCTTGAGATTTGGAACTATTGAAAATTTCTCAGTCATCATGTGAAAAAGCTCCCAGCCTTGAATAACCATTCCAGCCCTACTACAAGCACACAATAAAGCAACAAATGTAACTTCATCCGGATGCTCTCCCATTTCTACCATTTGGTTAAAGAGTGATAAAGCAATATCTCCAAGCCCATGAGCTACAAAACCAGAAAGCATTATATTCCAAGAGACAACATCCTTTTCACTATGCACGCTGAATTGTGCCCAAGCATAGCTTGTCTGGCCACATTTCACATACAAGTCTAGAAGAGCATTGGGTACATAACCTTCAGATCCAATACCACACCTTAAAACATATGCATGGATTTCCTTACCAGATCTCAAAGCCCCAGTAGCAGCACAAGCACTTAGAGCAGCTATAAATGTAACAGAATTGGGTTTTACATGTCCTAGCATATACCGGAAATAGTACAAAGCCTCAAAACTCCTGTGGTTAAAGCAAAATCCAGCAATCATTGAACTCCATGATACCACATCCTTCTCAGCCATGAACTTAAATACTTCAATAGCCTTATCAATGTGCTTGGATTTAGCATACATTTCAAGGAGCGCATTAGCAACGACAACATACCTGATGAATCCCTTGTTCTGAGCAAGCTCATGCAATTTGATGCCTACATCTAACCTCCCCAAGCAGGCACAAGCAGCAAGGGCACTTGCAATTGTAACATCATCAGGACTTACATTATGCAATTCCATCAGTGCATAAACTTCAAGGGCTTTATCTGGGAAACCATTTTTCTCATACCCCGATATCATTGCAGTCCATGACATGGCATCTTTAGTTTCCATTCTTGAGAATATTTTACCTGCATCCCCCATCCTCCCGAGACTGGTGTACATCTGAATCAACGAGTTACAGAATGCAACATCAATGGCGAAACCTCTCTTTACAGCAAACCCATGCATTTCTTTTGCAAAACCCACTTCAGACAACATTCCAGATGCAACAGTCACACTGGTTATTGTCATGAGATTCGGTTGTACCTCATTCTCCAGCATGGTGAGAAACAACTCCAACCCTGCCTCACACTCATGATTCTCAAAATGCCCAGCTATCATCGCATTCCATGATATGCAGTCTGTCACGGCCATTCCATCAAACACCTTCCTCGCCGCCACAATATCCCCACATTTTGCATACATGGTCACCAGAGCATTCAATACATCGACCTCGTCTCCAAAACCAAATCGAAGCACATGAGCATGCACCTCCCTCCCCATCCTCCAGTCAGGGATGCCCCCGCAGGTACGCAGCACGCAGGGGAACGTGTAGACATCCGGCCTCATCCCTGCCCACAGCATCCTGTAGTACAGGTCCAGCGCCTCCTCGAGGAAGCCCACCTTGCCGTACCCGCCTACCATGACGTTCCAGGAGAAGACGTCCCTCTCAGGCATTTTGGCGAACACCCTCCACGCGTGCCATATCTCCCCGAACCTGACGAGCATGCTGAGCATAGCGTTCCCGAGGCGGAGCCCGAAGCTCGGGTGCTCGGCGTCGGCGCGCGCGCACGCCCGCATCCCGGCGTCGACCGCGCGGCGCCACTCGCAGAGCCGGAACAGCGCGACGTAGGCGCCCTCGTCGGGCGGCTCCGGGGAGGACTCGAGGAGCCAGAGCGCCTGCGCCAGCTGGCCATGGCTACAGAGCGCCCGCAGCGCGGCGCTCCGGTCAGAGTAGGTGGCCTCCGCGGAGGCGGCGGCACGCGGCGGCGGCGGCGCCGCTGCGGAGCCGACTCCGCGGGGACGCTTCCGCGGCGGGAGGTGGCCGTGCGCCGGCGTGAGCGGGAGCGGCTGCGGCGCGCGGTGGGAGGCGAGGAGGTGGAGGAGGGGAGGGTTCGGGTGGGTTCTAGCTGGCGGTGGCGGCATCGCGGGAGGCGGCCACGAGCATGGCGGTGAGAGACGCGGGGGTTTAGGAGAGGTTTGGCGCCTCGGTGGCCACCTGATCCGGGAGCGCGAATGGATAGAGCTCGCCTCGCCTCGACGCGGTTGGGAAGTGAGGAGAGCAACGAAATTAACCGTCCTAGTACGTAAATGGGCCTCAATTGGGCTGGAGATTAAGGCCCAGGTAGAATTTTTTTAGTGAATTGCACTTTGGACATTTTTATTGATAAAGTTTCAGTTTGGACAATCTTATACCAAATATTTTTACTTTGGACCACATAATTTTATACTCCATCCGTTTCTAAATATTTGACACGATTAAATTTTAGCATATGTTTGACCGTTCGTCTTATTATAAACTTTTGCAAAATATGTAAAACTATATTATACATATAAGTATATTTAACAATGAATCAAATATTTAACAATAAATCAAATGATAGAATAAATATTAATAATTACTTAATTTTTTGAATAAGACAAACGGTCAAACATATTTAAAAAAATCAACGGCGTCAAATATTTAGAAACAGGGGAAGCATTTGTTATGTAATGGACCACTTTAACTATATTCGCTAGATATATTTAGCGTCTCCTTTCATAAATATATGACATGCATATACATATGAAAGTTCGCCGACATAAGTGGTAAAGATGTGGTTTGAGATGATCCGTTGTGTAACAAATAAAAAAGCTATCTAGTACAAAGTAAAATGATTAAAAAAATAATCCGAAATAAAACTTTGGCTCAAGGAAAGTTAACTCTCTTTTTTGGACGCGAGAGGAAAATTCAGGATTTTCTACGCGTCAGTTCAGTTCAGCGGCGTGAAATTTTCCGGGCCTGAATAAACCGGAGACAGAAACGAAGCAGCGGAAAGAGACGGAAATCGGAGTAATGGCAGCCATGGCGTCGTCCGCTCCCACGGCCGCGAAACCCGTCGCTCTACTGCCAGCCCCAATCTGCCGCTGCGGCGGCGGAGGTCTCAGATCGACGCTCCTGGCCCTGATGCCGCCGGCGGCGGCGGCGGCTTCCCGGTTCCGAGTCTCCGCCTCCGCCTCGGACGTGCCCGATTTCCTCTCCTCCGACTGGTCGGTATCCCCTTTCCATCTTGTGCTTTCATGTTTTTTCCTTCCTAGTTTGCTTGTACGTTGCAAGTTGCGACGTTTATTCATGTGGACAATCGAACCAACTTGCGACTATATTGGGGAAAAAATGGGTAGCGTAGTCAGGCAGGCAGTTCAAATGGACTATCCGGAATTCCGGATGCGGTATGGTCTCACACACATTTGGAGAATTCCTTTGCCCAGTTGCTCACTCTTCCAGTACTTTAGTATCTGTGCGACTGTGCCTTAAGAATGGAACAAAGCGGGTGGAAGCAATGGAAGGTACAAATGCGTTGAATTGACGCGGCTATCTGCTTATCATTTACGATGAGGGCAATTTACGGATCATTTTGTAGATTTAAGTTATAAGTGGAAAGGAAGGAATGACAGACATTTGCTGTGGGTGATAAGTGTGAGCCGCAAATATTTAACTCATGCCATGTTCGTCGAGAACTTGTTCTTCAGACGATTCTGTTACCCTGAATATCCATCCCTTCTTTTTGGCATTTGTATAGAACAGAATATTCTACCATTGTGCTAGCAGGTTAAGTAACCGCTGTCAAGTGGGAACTTCCTGAAACTGTAATTTGTAGATGTAACCATGGAGTGAATTATGCAACTAGAGTACAATCATATATGAATGTACCATTAGATGATTCAAACAAAAAAAATCATCCACAACATGAACTGCAACTTATTCAGTGCCTCAACTGTTAAGTCTGTTAAAAGCTTTGTTGGTTTGTTTTCATGTATTCTCATGTGTGCATGTTGCATCCAGTTTTACCTAAGGACTGCGTGAATCAGAGAGAAGCATGTCTGCAGAAATTTACAGTTGGTAGATACTTAGTGCATTGTGCAAAGCTAGCTTTACCTATCAGATATATCTGTAGGCAGAAAGCTTATGTTCATCCTTACATTTACTTCCCTGAAAATAATTGTTGATGGCATGGGCCTTATCTTCTGTATTCCTTGTAAGTGCTACGTGTGTCATCTTCTATATCTAGAGAGTATAAACTTCAATAGCTGCTCACTTTGTATCTAATCAAGGTCTACATAATTCAAATTTGGGGACTTGAGGCCTTTGCTAAGTTCCTGTGCAATGATATAGAACACCGCATTTGTTATCACAGGAGTTTGACATGCCATACCAAGATGTGAATGTGCAAAAGGCAAGCCAGTGTTACACATGTTGTGTATATGATATTTAAGGCTGACATTGGATATGTTGAACATGAATATCAGTTAACCCTTCTATTGATGTTTTTACTGTGCTGGTAGGATCTTACTCTTGTTCTCTGAATAATTCCTCATTTTTCTGCTTCAGGCTCGAAACACGGAAGAAAAAGCCTTTCGGCCCCAGGTTGAATGTAATGCTCAAACTGGAAACTGTGAAATAGTCTGATGTTGATGTCCTGAGCTTATAGATTTTGCATGGTTCCATCTTTCAGTTTAATGCAGAAGAAGCAGTAGAATACCAACTTGAGGCATTAAAATACAATGATCAGCCACGCCAAGATTATGGGATAGAAGTCATGTACAGGGTAATAGGCTAATAGCTGCTTGCAAATTGCTCATTTTTGCTTAGATGTGGTAAAGGTTTGACACAACTTCATAAGTCTGAATCTATATGGCCTTATCAGTTTGCAGGCTTTGATCCTTTTGAGAGATCAACTTATTTTGGGCGACAATTTGATCTAGGACAGGTAGACCAGAAGTATTTTCCTTCTGACATATATGGTTGTTCATGCTTCATAGCTGTCTTGCTGATTGCCACTAGTGCTACTCCAGTTTGAACGTTTCCGGCGGATATTTCACCATTCAACTTATAGGGTTTTGCTTGCCCACAAAGAAAGAACTATATTGAGCAGTTTATGGGTTGAAGAGGTTGGTCTTAACCCCCTTAATATTTCTGTCTATCGTACAATGAGACAAATTATCTTGATCTTGAATCTGATCGTGCTAACAGAACCTATATAAGCAAAGAGTGTGGGTTCGAGGATCACGTCCGGAGGAAGAAGCTATATTTCAGTTTACAATGGTTCAGGTACCTATCAACACATCCTTCTGTCACCTCTGTTCCAGCTACTTTGTTTTTTAACCCATTGTTGTTGTAGAGGGTTGGTGGCTCATGGGATGGGTACTGGTTAACTGAGAGCTTAATCAATGATGATGGAGATGCACTCTCAGGTGGTCTTGCTTACTGACCGATATGTGTCTTACACTCAAGCTTCTAGCGTATTGATGTACTGATGAATCTAGAAAATTATATAGCCGTGCAATTATGCACGGTTGGTCCAGAAATAGGTTTTCTTTTTTTTTAAAAAAAAAAGATTGTCCAGTTATATGTCACGGAAAGAGTAGCAATAGTACATGTGCTGTGGTAGAATTGACTGCGACACTCCCATTCTGGGAGCATTCAATATGTCAATGGTCAAACACGCCGCTATTGTACATAAGTTTGGCGGCTGTATGGTTGTTTATGAAATACCGTCATCTGGAAAGCTTTCAGCGATAGCTCAATGTGGATGTTCAGGTCAGGAAACGGCATTGTCAGAAGAAACAAAGTCCTATATACACACATCTATGTTTTTATTTTGTGTACGCTATGATTGTCTATTGCTCCATCCAATCAGAAGTTGAATTGTTAACTGCTCAGGTACCTGATTTCCGAGTATATCTTCGATGTTTCCTGATTGACTTGTGAGTTTATCCTCTATGTTTCCTGCTTTTAGGATTACATGGCTCATGACTGCAGGTGACGAGGTAAGCAAGTAAACACAAGTTGTCTTATTGCGCTTATATTTTTGACCGATCTTCTGTTTTTACATGTTTGGTCAGGGTTGTGGCGTCCTTTCCGATCAGAATGTGTAACCTTCAAGTACTTGAAAACATGAAAGAAGAACCGGAAGGTGGATTGAATATGTTGTTTCACACTCACCAGAAAAGGGCAGGTAACTTGTTGGGAATATTTTTTTAGGTGACCATCATCGTCAGGTCAATAACTTGCTTGCAAGATGAAAGTAACATGATATCGATATCTATATATTTTCGCACAACCTGATGATGAGGCAAAGAAATTTGTGGATACGGGTAAAGTTCCATTGCTTTTGTGCTTGAACTAGTAATTAATCTGACATTTCATAGTCGAGCACTGCTCCACGTATTAAAAGTTTCTTACAAAACTCGTGTGCCCTATTTTTTTAGCTTATTCATGAATTATTGAAATGGGATATTTGTTCAATGTTTTTAAAATATGTATTCTCAAAAAAAAAAACTTTCTATTACATTATTGTAATACTTAGACCACTTGTTTTTAGCTGTTTGTTCACTTTATTTCTTAAAATATTTAACTTGCTCATATATTCAAGAGATAGTCCGCCCATCAACATTTGATCGATCAAACGGGGCATTAGTACAAAATTCATAACCATTTGATCTAACTTAGGTGGAGGTTGTAGGGAATTTAGATTTACTAACATAATGTAAAACATTTGTAAAAGCTTTTCAAGAAAAACTTTTGTAGCGTATATGCTTGCTTTTGAACTAAACTAAGAGCTTTTTAATAAAACTTTTTGTACGTATAGACTTGCCGTCGAACTAAACTGACGAGTAATTAATAAAAGACCACAAGGACATAGAGTTGGGTGTGTTAGATACGGGTAAAGCTCCATTTGCTTTTGTGTTTGATGCAGGGCGTCCGTGAGCCGTGTGGTGTACCGCCGAACCGGTGATGCCATGCATCCATACACGTCTACACTCTACACCCATTAACCATACATGGCGTACAACGTCCCACCAGCTCGTGGCCGCTGCCACGTTGAACCCATAGCAACCTCTCGCGTGAAATATCACGTTGGAAACAAAAAAAAACGTTGTTAAGTCTAAGGTCTCCGTCGTTTGGCTTATTTCCTAATAAGACAAAATGGTTTATTAAAAAATAAAAATGAATTTGTACGTAAAATTTTTATAAATATGTTCTTGGTGACTTAGAAGCTAATGTTAAAAAAGAAACTATGTTAAAAATATCTCAAAATTAAGCTTGAAAATTTAAATTTTGGCTTTTTCTTTTGCTGATTAGTCCAACCGATGGGAGCTAACTCCGTGTGACCATGTTGCCTACGATTTCCCTGAAAGCGAGGACGGAAGTGGGCTCGAAATAGCCAACCCCGGGACAGACAAATGGATCGATCGATCTATCGAGCAGCCCACTACAGGAGCTTCCCGTCCACGTGCGCGGAACGCACGCTACCGCTCCCAAGTCCGAAACCTCCGGTGCCTCGCCCGTTTCCCCCCATGAATTCCCCGGCCGCGCGAATCGCCGAGCCCCCGTCACGCACGCGACGCGCGCGAGCGAGCGTACAGCCGCCACCTCCATCCACGTCGCGGTCGCTCGATCTCTCCCCCCCAAGCAAAAAGCCCAACAACCGCCCCCGCGCGCCGATGGAGACGAGCCGCCGTCCCGCCCGTCCGCGCCTTGCGTTTCTGAGGCCGTTCAGGCGGAACGCATGAGCAAGGCGTTCCCCCACGGCCGGTTGCTTATCGCACAGGGCCTTTCTGCTACGCCGGCGCCCGACCGGCTCGGCGTTTTCGCGGTGCGCGCGCGCGTGGCTGGCATGCATTATCCGATACGGATCGACTCGATCGACCGACCAGCTGGTGCGTACCTCGATTCGGACACGGGTGAGTTACGTTACGTAGAATCGTAGATGATGTTGTAATGTCTGCGTTTGTGTACTTGTGCTGTAGTACAGGTCGCAATCGGACTCCTGTTCCGATTAGGAATATTGGTGATCGGTGCATGCATCTCTTATCCCTCTCGTCTATATAACTCAGTCAGGGGACAAACGAGTTCGTCCAAGTGCAAGTAACCCCACGTTCTTTGTGCTTGTGACCGCAGTCGTGGTTTGCAATCTTTGTGTTCGGTGAGGTTTGTTTGCTGCATGCCATGGCCGAGCAGCAGCAGCAGCAAGCGCCGCTGCTGCAGAGGCCAGCCGCTGCACCGCCGTCGTCGAGCCGGCTGCCGGACTTCAAGCAATCGGTGAAGCTCAAGTACGTGAAGCTGGGGTACCACTACCTCATCACCCACGGCGCGTACCTCCTGCTCGCCCCGCTCCCGGGCCTCGTGGCGGCGCACCTCTCCACCTTCACGCTGGGCGACCTCGCCGACCTGTGGCAAAACCTCCAGTACAACCTCGTCTCCGTGCTCCTCTGCTCCACGCTGCTGGTGCTCGTCTCCACCGCCTACTTCCTCACGCGCCCGCGCCCCGTCTACCTCGTCGACTTCGCGTGCTACAAGCCCGACGACGAGCGCAAGTGCAGCCGCGCGCGCTTCATGAACTGCACCGAGCGGCTCGGCACGTTCACGCCGGAGAACGTCGAGTTCCAGCGCAAGATCATCGAGCGCTCGGGCCTCGGCGAGGACACGTACCTCCCCGAGGCGGTGCTCAACATCCCGCCCAACCCCTCCATGGCCAACGCGAGGAAGGAGGCCGAGATGGTCATGTACGGCGCGCTCGACGAGCTGCTCGCCAAGACCGGCGTGAACCCCAAGGACATCGGCATCCTGGTCGTCAACTGCAGCCTCTTCAACCCGACGCCGTCGCTGTCCGCCATGGTGGTGAACCACTACAAGCTGAGGGGCAACGTCGTCAGCTACAACCTCGGCGGCATGGGGTGCAGCGCCGGCCTCATCTCCATCGACCTCGCCAAGGACCTCCTGCAGGTGTACCCCAACACGTACGCCGTGGTGATCAGCATGGAGAACATCACGCTCAACTGGTACTTCGGCAACGACCGCTCCATGCTCGTGTCCAACTGCCTCTTCCGCATGGGCGGCGCGGCGATCCTCCTCTCCAACCGCGGCTCCGCGAGGCGGCGCTCCAAGTACCAGCTGGTGCACACCGTGCGCACGCACCGCGGCGCCGACGACCGGTGCTTCGGCTGCGTGACGCAGCGGGAGGACGCTGACGGGAAGACCGGCGTGTCGCTGTCCAAGGACCTGATGGCGGTGGCCGGCGAGGCGCTCAAGACCAACATCACCACGCTGGGCCCGCTGGTGCTCCCCATGTCGGAGCAGCTCCTCTTCTTCGCGACGCTCGTCACCCGCAAGGTGCTGAAGCGGAAGGTGAAGCCGTACATCCCGGACTTCAAGCTGGCGTTCGAGCACTTCTGCATCCACGCCGGCGGCCGCGCCGTGCTGGACGAGCTGGAGAAGAACCTGCAGCTGTCGGACTGGCACATGGAGCCGTCGCGGATGACGCTGCACAGGTTCGGGAACACGTCGAGCAGCTCGCTGTGGTACGAGCTCGCCTACGCCGAGGCCAAGGGGCGGATCAAGAAGGGGGACAGGACGTGGCAGATCGCCTTCGGCTCCGGCTTCAAGTGCAACAGCGCCGTGTGGAGGGCGCTCCGGTCGGTGAACCCGGCCAAGGAGAACAACTTCACCAACCCGTGGATCGACGAGATCCACCGCTTCCCGGTGCCCGTCCCCAAGGTGTCGGCCATATGATCCAACCACACGCGTTGGCTGTTTGCACTGAAACATTATTACTAGCAGTAGCTTAGTAGTAGTAGTAGAAATGAACTAGGATCTATTCGTTATTGCTTGTGTATTGATCTGATCATATCTGGTTCGCTGTTCTTATGTGAAGTTGCTCTGTCGGTCTGGCATGTAAGAAGGTCTGATCATAAGTTCACTTCAAAAGTTAATTTACATCTTCATAAAATGGCAAGTAAATTGGCTGTCAACCTGGAAAACAACAATGAAACAGAAATGTACAATTTAGGCTCTCTTTTTTTTCACTTAACGAGGAATGCACAACTTCTCAATTGCCCTGTGACGAGGAAAAAAAAGTTAAAATAGGTTGTCATAAAACGGCCTTTTTAAAAGGGCCAACAGTTTCAGCACCCATTGGGCTGTCAACAAACACCGAACTGGGGCTGTACAGTAAAGGCCGAAACTTCCAAGTGGAGAGCATCTCGGCCCATTAGGCCCATATCCCACAGAGCCAACGGCAACTTCCGAATCCGACGGCCGAAAATCTCGCGTGCGACGAAAGCTAGACCGATCCGATCCACACCTGCCGACCAAGATCCAACGGCCACAATTCCTGCGTCCATCCAAAGCTAATAAACCCCGCAACCTTCGAGAAAAAAATTGATGCCACCGCAGCTATAAAACCCTCCGCCTCCGCAAAATACCCAATTCCATTTCGAATTCTAGGGTTTTGTTGGCCCCCATTCCTCCCCCACCCCGGTGTCCTCCCCTCCGCCGCTCGCGTCGCCGCCTTTTTCCCCTATGGTGAGTACGATCTCGATTTCGCCGCGCCGTGTGGGTTTGGATCTCGGGGTTCCTGTGTTTGATCCGCGACGTTTTTTGGCTTTTTTTTCCAGGCGCTGCCGAATCAGGGGACCGTGGATTACCCCAGCTTCAAGCTGGTCATCGTCGGCGATGGCGGGACTGGTGAGTTCCCAATCTCGATTCGGATCCTATTCCGTTCTGAAACGGCATGTTATGATATGTTTGATGCGTCTACTCGGTGTGGTTTCTACTAGATCTGATGGGCTAAGATTTGTACCGGTGGCTGAAATCCGATGGATTTTTTTTTATTTCGCCATTAGACTGGGATTTGGGTATTGGATGTTTCCATTTTATGATTCAGCTTATCCCAGGGATGGGTTATTGCTCTATTTTTATATGACGTCTAAAATTTTGCTACTCCTATCTTGATGATTAGGATCTTGAGAGTTATTTTAGGATATTGAAATCGGCATAAATATGATGCTATACAGGTCGTATTTAGTCAGATGTATTTATTATCTTATTTTAGAATGGACCATCGTGCTATGCTGTTATTCTAGGATTCGCCTGGGACTGAATAAATTTGAGGAAAAAGTAAAATAGTATATAAATACCTTCGCATCAGTAAACTATTGCGCTTTTTGATCAGTTGAGATTGGTCAAAACATTAGTTGCAGTCTGATTAGTTTAGGCCGGCAATATGCCTGAATGGCTTCATTTCCGTAAGAAAAGTTTACTTATTGCCTTCTATATCATTGTTATTGGATGGATTTTGATGGTATGCCATGTTTGATTGCAGGTAAAACTACATTTGTGAAGAGGCATCTCACTGGAGAGTTTGAAAAGAAATATGAGCGTATGTACTATGACTCTTATTTTTGTTGTTCCTGTATTCTTTGCTAAATTAGTTATTGAACTGTTATGCAAATTTGTCACTTCAGCAACCATTGGTGTCGAAGTTCACCCTCTAGATTTTACCACCAACTGTGGTAAGATCCGCTTCTACTGCTGGGACACTGCTGGACAAGAGAAGTTTGGTGGACTTAGGGATGGATACTAGTAAGTGCTAGAGAAGTGCTTAAGCCAATTATCATAGCTTCCCTTAATATTTTTCCATGCATATGGATGTCTCCTTGTGCTTGCCTGATTGTTCTGTCCTTAACTTCTGTTGTGCAGTATCCATGGTCAATGTGCGATAATTATGTTTGATGTCACTTCAAGGCTGACTTACAAGAATGTTCCAACATGGCATAGGGACTTGTGCAGGTTTATTTCTGAAGACACGATAAACTTTACCTAATATATTATATGGAAGAGAACTCTTATGATTAGGTATCAACTCTTGCAGGGTGTGTGAAAACATCCCCATTGTCCTGTGTGGTAACAAGGTTGATGTGAAGAACAGGCAGGTTAAAGCCAAGCAGGTCACATTCCACAGGAAGAAGAATCTCCAGTACTATGAAATTTCTGCCAAGAGCAACTACAACTTTGAGAAGCCCTTCCTTTATCTTGCAAGGAAGCTTGCTGGGTAATAATTCCCTCCTTATTGTTTTCCTTTTCATGCTTTCTTCTTACATTGTTTGTGTTTATTATGCAACATATTTTAATCTGTGTTAATGCTTTTGGTGTATGTAGTGACCCGAACCTGCATTTCGTTGAAGCTGTTGCTCTTAAACCTCCGGAAGTTCCCATTGACCTGGCAATGCAGCAACAGTAAGTGTTTATGCTTTGTCCAATTCATTTTCAGATAGTGTTGATGAAATACCTAGTTTCTGCAAACATTTCAGGAACTAATTTTAATACTCATGCAGGCATGAGGCTGAGCTTGCGGCTGCAGCAGCACAACCTCTCCCAGATGACGATGACGATCTGATCGAGTAGAGAGGATCATGAGTCTATCATGCTTCAGCCTGAGTCTCTTCATAAGAGTCTGAATTAGGCCAATGCATGCTAGTGTTAGCTTGTCTGTGGAATGTGGACGTTTCCTGCGTGCCTGATGGGTTGAAAACTTTTGATGTGTGGTGTTACATGTTGCTGCCATGAATTTGTTGGCTCTTTTTTAACACTGCTGTGTTACTTCTATGGTTATGCTTAAACTATTTGTATCATCGAGCTGGTATTTATTTATCCGGTGTTGCACAATATTCTTCTTCACTGCCCTAACTGCGAGTGCTGACCGCCCAAGATTATGTAATGTTCGCATCGCATTAAGTTTTGTATATCTGTGATGAAAGCTAGGCTCAACTGTTCTTGAGAACAGGGGTGGTGACTGGTGGGTGTCCGGTGTCCCTGTATCGGTAAACAAGGACACATTTGACTGCTGGTCCTCGTTGTCGTTGGTGGCGATATACTGATATAGTGAGTATGATGGCAGTATAGTAGTACAGCTCCTCTACCAACTTACTCACTATACCGTATGCTCAACTAAAATACACCATTTCATTCGACCTGGTAAAGCTGAACTGAAAATGAGTAAGCTCTTCCAGTTACCAACTTACCATATGCTCGATAGAAAATGTAGCATCATCTTACTGCAACTCTAAAAAATTAAAATCCAAAGGGAGAACGAACCGGGCGTGAAGTTATGATTAAGAGCTTTGATGGGGAACGAACCTGGAGGCACATGGACAGGAAATCAGGATTAAGTGATCACTTAATTAATCCCAATTCCAAACGTTTCCGACATTGATTAAATCATCAAACAGCATTAATCGACCTCATTTCAAACTTTGCCAACATTGCTCAAACAACATAGGAGTACACCGTATTAGTCCTGGCAGAAAAAGAACAGCAAACCAAAGAGAGATCGTCATCGATGATGAATACGAGTACAATAAAGTAGCAACGTTTCTGGAACACTCCAGAAGTCACTCTCTCTCGAAGAAAAGATACTGCACCGAAATCACCTTCCGAAAGGCACAAGCCAAATCCATCGTTGGTGCAGGCGGCAGGTCCAGCCAGTGTAGTGCGCGTCACTACGAACTCTAGTGCGCAAGTGGCCTCGGCCAGATAACCACACAGTCACAGCAACAGAAAAAAAAAATCGCCTCGGCGCGGCGGGCGGAGACGTCGATACCCCCGACGAATCCTCTCTCTCTCTCTCTCTCTCTAGATCCCATCCACCCCTTCCACCTCTCCTCTATTAAATCCGCCGCTCTCACTCCCACCCACCGCCGCGACACACACACGCACACCTGAGCCGAAGCACGCACGAATCCAACGCCGAGATGAGGCCGTCGCTGCTGAGATACGCCGCGCAGGCGCTCCGCCGCCGCGACTACTCCTCCGCCGCCGCGGCCGCTGAGCGGAAGGTGGCCATCCTCGGGGCGGCGGGCGGGATCGGCCAGCCGCTCGCGCTCCTCATGAAGCTCAACCCGCTCGTCTCGTCCCTCTCCCTCTACGATATCGCCGGAACCCCCGGCGTCGCCGCCGATGTCTCCCACATCAACTCGCCGGCGCTGGTACGTCTCCACCCACCCGCCTGCATCCCTCTCCTGGCTGGATCTAGCCGTGTGACGATGCTGGGTTTTGGATTCTGCTCCTCCGCAGGTGAAAGGCTTCGTCGGGGAGGAGCAGCTCGGGGAGGCGTTGGAGGGTTCGGACGTCGTAATCATCCCGGCCGGTGTGCCGAGGAAGCCCGGCATGACCAGGGACGACCTCTTCAACATCAACGCCGGCATTGTTAAGGGCCTCTGCACTGCCATCTCCAAGTACTGCCCCAACGTAAGCACCCTAACTTTGATTTACACTGTAGAGTTTAGATATGCAGTGAGGTTCATGGATCTGGTTGTGAAGCATGCTGATTGCGCTGGTCACGGCTTGGGGATTGCACTTCATTGCCCATCGTGTAGATCTAGCGTTTATTTGTGGTCTCGGATCGTACACTGACATAAAACTGATGATGGAGACTAAAATAGCTGGTTGCCCCCAAAATTCAGTGAGAATTTAATAGTGACAAGGACTTGATGGGAATAGAAATGGACGTTTTGCCCAAATTCATTGAGATTTAATACTATAGGAAGGTGAGGTGCTAGTTGCCTGCCTCAATGTTGTGTGGTGTCGCTCGAGGCTGCCTCAATGTTGTGTGGTGTCTCACTCGAGGAGGCTCGCTCTCACCAGGCCTTGTTTTGCTCCATTTAATCGCATACCGCCGAGAACGAATGGGATGTTAGATTGTGTTCTGTGCATGTCTACTCCAATATATCAGCTGACCATTATGAAGTTTATTGTGCTCACTATATATGAATACAATTGTTAATCTTTTGATTGTATGCTTTTTAGGCTCTTGTCAATATGATCAGCAACCCTGTCAACTCGACTGTCCCCATCGCAGCGGAGGTGTTCAAGAAGGCTGGTACTTACGATGAGAAGAAACTGTTTGGTGTGACCACGCTTGATGTTGTGCGCGCTAAAACTTTCTATGCTGGAAAG